AACCCCAAATTAGCCACAAAGTGGCACTTCTTTTAGGGGGAGGTTGAATTTGAGTAATTCTTCATTTACAAATAACTGGAAAAATTGAAACAAATTTTATTCAATCTGTCATTTTCATCTGAATTTTTTCCTAAAAAACCTGTATACTATCACTTCTAAAAGTATGTTGTGGGCTGGGGTTTATATGACTCTTTAGGTCTTTTGATGGGCTCTTTACCATCTGAAAAACTGTAAATGTAGGGATAAGATGGTAAACAAGGTTGTTCACTCATTAGTAGGAGCCAATTAATTATTGAAACTGCTTGGGAGGAAAAAAACCTCAGCACTTTAAACATATACACATGAAAAAATTCACACTTGGCATATGTGTTTACAAAAGACTTGTGGACTCTGGAATCCTGTGGATTACATGCTTGAAGATAATTTCACCATGGAACAAAGCACTGCCAGCTCAGAGCTGAAATGTGGCCTGGGACAGTGAAGCACTGCAGAGGAAGCGTCTTTATCAAGGAACAGAAAAGGCCCCAAATCCCTCCAGCCTTCCCTTCCTGACACCAACAGGTGCAGGTATTTTACTGGGGCTCTGGGGTGATGTGTTCTTGTGGAGCCTGGCAGTCAGGTTGGTTTCCACCTCTGGAAACAGCAGTCACAACATTGGTAATACAATGTTGAAGGAATTTTTGACAGCTTGTCTGCAGCACCACAGGAGACAATTTAATCAAGGTTGCAGGATAAGATTGCCTCCTTAGAAACAAAATAAACAAAACCCCCATCAGTCCTTTAATAAGCTCCTTTTCCTCTTTGTTGTATCTGAAACTGAATCTACAAAGAGTGTAGATGAATTTAGAAATATGATAATTTAAATCATGGTATTGGCTGACATCTAGCACTGCAGAGAAGACAGAGGAAAAACAAACATCAAAAATAACTATTACTTCACCAAGGCAGGACGTTTTTTAGGCTTAAGTATCTTGCTGAATGTCATCTCATTTCCCTTCTCAAAAATTCTGCCTAAGGAAAATATTAATATTAATTGAGTTTCCATTTAGGCCTTTCAGTAGATTAAGTATATATAAGGGAATATTTTCTTCAGTTCTATTTTATGTCAACTTATTTTTCTTCTTTTGTAAATGTTACTTTTCTCTTTAATAACTATAAATCTTTTACAAATATCACGGAGTGATTAGAAATGAGAAGAAGCTGTACATAACATATCATTACATTTTTTTCTTGGAAGAAATATTGAACTGAACTCTAATTTTTTTCAGAATGTTCTGTTGTAATGATACAGATATTATGGAAGCTTTTTGTTATTAATTATAGGCATCAATGTGTGCCACAAAACTTGATGTAACTTAGGGAAGATTAAAAAAATCAGAGACTTTTCATTAGTTTTGTATTGCTTAATAAAGCTTAATAAGAGAAAAAAGAAGCTTAGCTAAATTACATTTTTCAGTGTGCTGTGAAAATGTCTTCTTTAATATTATATGATTTATATAAGATGTTTGATCAGATCTAACAATCCTTTATATGAGATTATAATTTAATACTTTTATTTAGAAGTAAATAAGGATTTAAACATTTTTTCTTTAAAATCTAAAAACTGCCTCAAGCTTTCTGCAACTGATTGTGTTGCTTTGATGGTAATTCTTAGCAAACTCTAAGAGTCTGAGTAAAATTTTAAAGGGTTATGATAACTCTAGCTAAGCTGATTAAGAACCAGTTAAGCGATAGATCTAAAATCTAGATGTGATTGTGTAATCCTCCTTAGTGAAAGATCCTTCTAGGGAGGCCTAGAAAGAAGCACTTCCCAAAAGTCCTGTCGAGGATTTACAGGCAAGTAGAAAACTATTGCTAATAACATTTACAAAAGGAATAAGACCAGTAAAATAAACAATTACCATGCAGACATGGTGGTCACAATGTGACAGCAAGATCAGAAAACCCAAAAATAATATTTTTCAGTACAATAGTGTTATCACTGTATGTTCAGAAACATGGCACTTGGACAGTGATTGAAGAAAGAGAGATTAGGAGGAATTGTGATGATCTACCTTCACACTCATGGAGGTTAGTCCAGGAACACTGTTTTCAGTGCTTTAAAAGGGATTCTCAAAAATAGGAGGTGTTCCGGAAAAGTAGTCCCCAAAACTATTTTAAGGAATAAATCTTACAGAGTAAAAACCTCGCTGTGAGTTTGGTCTGTTTCTTTTATCAAAAGGAAACCTGAGAAGCTCCTTTATCAAAGCATCCAGATGCATTCCCAGAGGAAGTCAGTGACTACAAGATGGTCCTTTAGTCTGGGAATGATTGGCCACAGCAAGAATCAACAGATGTAATTCAAAGTCAGTAAAAATCAAAGGAGAAAAAACCTATACAGAATAAAATAGTGGGAGTGCTAAGGCACTGGAATATACTAGCAAGATGGACCAGTATTAAAACAAAATCATCTTGTGGCGCATTCAGATGAAGACCAGGAATTTTTCCAAAAGATACACCTTTACCAGGTGTGAAAGCTTTATGCAGTATCGAATGAGTAGGTTGATAGATCCCTGTAATTCACAAGTCCTTAAAATTCAGGGTCACTCAGTGTCCATTTCCAACACTTTTCAAAGGAAAAGGTGAAGTTCTATATAAGATTTAGACCCTTTTATTTTATGCAGCTGGTCCCCTCCATAAGAGTCCAGTGTGGAGTGCTGGTTTCCTGTAAAGTGCAGAGGGAGAATTTGTGTCCTTGAATTGGACAGAAACACCAAACCCTTTCTAGGGAAGCAAGAGAGGTTCCTCTGTGTTAGGCATCTCTATCGTCAGGGCATCACACAGGTATCATGACATCCAGGTCACAGAACCCACAAATAAGGAACACAATCAAAATGTCTTTCTTTTTACTAAATTTTAATTTTTCATGATCATATCACTTTAATCTTTGCAGGCAAAGTCTGTTCAGTTTCTGCAGTGGTTCTTCCCTGTACCTTCCACCTTTCAGAGGATTGTTCTAAACCAGTAGATTAGTCTAATGATGTGTTTAAAAAAGAAGCAAATTCCCAGACTAGGAAAGGAAATGCATGAAGGAGCCTAAAGTCTTGAATTTAGTGACTGGGACATTCACTTGAGAGGTGATAATCCTGATAATGATGTTTTGAAGACACAGATGTTCTTTCATCCCAGATCAGAGATTTCTGGATAAGAAATTCTTTGCTATGTAAAACAGACTGATATATTTATTACCTTTTCTTTAAAATAGACTCACCTACATTTATAGTATACCTATTATTGTATGGCATATTCCATGTTCTCCATTAAGATTTATGAATTTAGAACTGCAACAGAAAGGTTTCTAGAAGGTTTAAGCGGAGATGTGTGGCAAACCACAGAGAGGGGAAAAAGTCTAGGCATTTAAAGAAGCAAAATTTTCAGTTCCCATAAAATAAAAAATAAAAAAACCTGAGAAAACAAGCTGGAAGTTGACTTCAGGGTTAAGTGGCAAGTGAAGGAGGATTCACTGGATTAGGCTTTTAAATGTAAATGCCTTCCTTGTTCCTAACTCCTTTACTGGATATACTCATTCTCTACAAAATCACTATTGGTTAAATATAGTTTATGGAATGGTTGCAAAATATGGTTAATGATCACGAATGCTAGCCAAATTTGAAATGTGAAGCAAGGCAATAAAGAATTTTTTATACATAGTCTTCCTAAAATATTTCTGTGACATACATACATTCTATTTGTAAAATATGTTTCTTCAATTAAAATAGCTATTTTTGTCAAGCCATACAAAAGCAGACATTACTCCTCTAAGCTTTCTAAAAGACAGGACTGAGGTAATTCTTTCACCTGGCTTTACAGTGCAGACAGAGCTGACAAGGGGGTTTTGTTTGCAAAGCAGATAAGTTGCGTTTACTAATTAGCCACTGCCCAGGCAATAGGTTATGGCATCACTCTATACAAAAGAAAACACATTGCTATGTGAGGTAAAAATAGCTGAATCAAAAGAAATTTCAATAATTATGGAAGACTTGCTTTTCTTGACCTTAATGTGTAAGATAAGAGAAAACCACAAGGATCTTATTCTGATACTGTGCAATATGTGTACAAATACTTCATCACCCTAATTCAGAAATGTATAAAAACCAGTGAGGGATGCAAATCTCTACATCAGGCCAAGCCACTTTAGGTTTCCTTTACAGGAAATAGATAGCATGGTCTAGGATATTCAGTGCAATTAGCATTTTCCCATAGTATATACATAGATTTGGCTGGGTAAATGATAAGATAAACTCTATGAAATGTACTTCATTGCCTCCACTTAGAAGCCTTATTAGTCAGCTCAGATATTGACACTAAAGAGATCCATATTAAATTACATTTTGACCAAAGAAGCATGAAAAAAAAATAATACAAGCTAGCAAAACTGAGCATGTTCTTCAATTCTCCTTGTATTTTTGTGCTTCACTTTTTTTTCTGATCAGTGCTAATTAAGGAGCAACTAATTTTCCTGATGTAATAATTTCCTCTGCTGTGTTTAATTAATTTCATTGTTGAGTTAGATAGAATCCAGCTTAAAGATTGTAAACCCTGCTATTAACTAACCACTGCAATGACTGAGAGAACTGATTAGATGACCTTAAATGAATACATCTTTTAACCTTCTTCACTTTGCAGAAGAAAAGACAAATAAAGCTAGGGTCTTAAAAAACAAATTTCCAGCAAAAATCCAAAATATGAAGCTTCCTTAGAAACTGTGGTAGGTGATCTCCCATCATACCATTCTCTGTCCAGCACTGCAGAAACCAAATGTTCTGATGACAACCTCTGCTTTCACTTGCTATCATAATTTTTCATATAACTTTGTTAGTGTCTTCCAATCTCAATTGCTATATAAAATCCCTGTGGGGAGAATCTGGATATATATTGTTCTAATTGATCAGAGGATATTTCCCAAACATCCCAAACATGGAATTGATTTTGTCTTTTTGGAAATCAATTGTTTAACTCACATGTGCTAGTCTATCAAATCTGGCAAAGAGTTCATTCAGCATTCGGACCAGCTCCTGGGCTGACAGAGTTGTGGAAAGGTTGGTGAAGCCTTTAACATCTGCAAAAAGAATGCTAAAAAAAGAAAACATATTATTATTTCACTCTATTTCCTTTAATTACTGAATGTTTTAAGTTACTTTCTAGCATTTTACTAGTGGAAGGATCATTTTATTACCCCTGAGGTAACATTACCTCTGTTCTATACTTTTGTACATACTGGAGTACTGAATATAAATATTGAAGGAACTAAAAAAATACTACTAAGAGTGAGAAAATGTTTTGCTAGAAATAGGAATCATGAAATTCTAGATTTTCAAAGCATACAAGTCTCAAATCCTAAGAGTACAGACAAATTTGTGATAGTCTTGATATACACCAGGCTAAGGCCAGTTTTATTTAGCGTCATTTCAGGCATGTGACAGAAGTACCTGAGTTAGAGCTATAGTACTCTCTTTATAAGATATGAATCTTTAATAGGATTTTTTTTTCATTCTACTGACTTTACAGGGAGCCCAGTGTGACTGTACTTTGAATTTAGGTGTATCAACTTGTGTGCCTGAAATTATGGTAGGATCTCCATTGACAAACCATTTGCAAACAGACTTCTAACGTGTTTAAAAATCCAGTTATTTTTCTTGCCTTTTGGCTGCTCACTGTGCCTAGAATGACCACATGTGAATATAGAGAAACATAAACACACACAAAGTATGTGGTATGCAAGATAACACCCAGAACAAAACATGTAATAGCTCAGTAATTATTAGCCAAAGAAAGCATTGGCTACTTTTATAAAGAGGTGATGTTCAAAAAGACACAGATCATTCTGGCACAAACCTTGTCAGCACTTGAAAGTCAACCAATAAAACTGGTGTTACAATCTGAGTACCAGAAGATTTTGTTTCACTTTAGCTGATGACTTGTGATGAACAAGATCACAACTTGGCAGGGTCTGAGAATTACCAATGTAACCAATAAGAAATACAATAATAATCAGGTTGATTGATAACACATCTTCAAATGTATGGACTGGTAAAGGTTTGGTTGCAATTTAAACAAGTGCTTACAAACTTGGGAAGATTTTACCTGTGAGAAGGAATAAAATTAAAAGGCAAAGTACCAAGCTACTCAAAGAGTAATGAATAGTAATAATAAACTAAACTTATAAAAATAAAATTTTGAAACTACTAGTTTCTACACTTTTAATTTTCAAACCAACAAAAATTTATATCTGGATATATGTAAGGATTCATATAGGATTTGTTTATGGGGTATTCAGTACTAAACATTTATGAAATAAAATAAGGTGTATGAAACCTTGTTTTGAAAAGATCTAGTTTCTGGCAGTATGTATGGAAGCCAACCAGTATCTGTATATTAAAGCATGCAGAATTTTAATTTCAAATCTCTTTCAGGCATTAAATATATTTTGATTTCTCACCCTGTCTACAACCCTTTTCCATTAAAGCAAAAGGGCCATTTCTCCATATTTTGATTCTTCTACAGCAACACTTACTCTGAGTATGAAAAAGGTTAATGGAAGACATTTTAATTTAGTGCAGCTCAAACCTTTATGAGGGTCCTTGATACTTTCCATCAGATTTAATAAAATAACATATCTGAGCTACTGCATGGACACAGAAGCAGCAGATAATCAATTTATTCTTCTGCAGAAGTGCAAATTATTTCATTGAACTTCTCCAGGCAAAGTTATATTTTGGTTTCATTGAAAGGCAAAGTACTTGCTTCTCATGCAAACTATCTGCCACCATACCCATGCTTATTTTTCACTTCCTTCAAGGAGGGTTTCAAAGATGGTCAGTCAATGATTTACCCTTGTGTTTTGGGAAAGGCTCATGGAAAATGCTATTGGCTTAATAAAATATTCTGATTTTCTGGAAATACACTAAAACCAAGATGATGTAATGTCATGGAGTGGAAGTTGATCATTCTGGTGTAAATGTACAATTAGGACTAATTACCTTGAGTGGCAGCTCATAGGATAATTATCACCCTTGTGATAACATTTCAAGAAAGAAAAAAATTAGAGAGAGGAATAAAGATTAAGAAAATAATAATAAGACTGATTAAATGAAAATGGCTATAAAGCAGAGGAACCATTTAACAGGTTACCATCTTTGAAAACATCTTACAAGTCTCCATCTAATTTTTCAGTGTGTGGGGTGAGCCAGGTTGTGGCAGAATATATGTCCACATGTAGGCAGGCCTCCCCTTCCTGTGCAATCCTGACCACTTAAGTGAACTGAGTGTGAAAAAGTGAAAAAAAGTGAAAAAAAAAGTGAAAAAAAAGACACAAATGGTCCAGACTCAGTGTTTAGTTTAAATGGCTCTTGCCATTGCCATGGCATCCAAGCACCCTGATGATTAGAAGAAGGCATCAAAATGCTTCTCTGCTTAAATACTAAACAAGGTTACACTAATTTTCCAATTAATGAATGAATAAAGCAACAGAAGGGAAACCCTCAGACAAGAGTAATTTAGCAACATCTGAGACCTTAGGCATTACAGAAAGGCTACTTCACCCACCTGACATTCTCATAACGATGAATGTAGATCTTATGGAACTGGTGCTGCAAATGTTCATCTTCCACATTGGTCATGTCATTGATCATTTCCAGGACTACAAACCGTGGCAACACAGAGAGCACCAGTCGTTCCTAAACAAAGAGGAAACCAGTGTCAGTCTGAACTGGTATTTCACAATGCCCAGTTTAAGGATCTGGATAACTGATTATTTAAGATGTGACCCTCCTCTCTGAAAATTCTAGCTCAAGACATTTGTTATAATTCACTTTATCAGCCTGAGTCCATAGTCCAGGATACGTCTGGTTTGGGTAAGGAAGAATAAAATGAGTTCACATGCAGCCATTCAAACTGGTCCTCCTGACTAGCAGAACTGGAGAACATGTTCAACATTTCTAATTATTTTTGTCTGTGCTTCAAGAACCCTCACGAAGAGTAAACATTTGTTTATATATAAAAACAAATGTAGACATATGTTTATATATATGCACATGCTTCTTTATAATGTATATTAGTAGAGTATCCATTTACATTATTTTATTATTAGTGTGCAAACAGTGTATCGGTGCATATTAGTGCACATATACTTCTAGTATTAGTGTATAAAGAGATACACACATATCCACAAGAGTGCTGTTTCCAGCCCTGTCATAATATAATTAAGCCCAGAATTTTCACAGAATTTCACCAAATATTCTGGGTTGGAAGGGACTACAAGGATTTTAAGTGACTGGCCTATATGGGGATTGAACCTGGACTCATGGTTATTAGCACCATGCTCTAACTAACCACATCTTAGTACAGCCAGGCAAGCCCTCAAAAAGCAATCAAGTCTTTAATGAAAGCCCTGGATCATCCCCTGAGAGATTTTAGACTGGCTTCAGTGGCTCATCAGTTTAACAGCTTTGACAGATTTTTGTGAGTATCCAACCCAAATCTGTTTCTCTGCAAATTAAACCTTCTTTTTGTCCTTTCAAATTGAGCATGGATAATTATTGATTGCTGCTTTCTCTGTAATAATCTTTCTGTACTAAAATACTGTTATTGTGTCCTCTTCACTCTGTCTCTCTTGTTTTTTTTTTTTCAGATTAGAAAGCTTTGTCCAGTATTGGAATTTATCACTCCAAATCACTCTGAAGCAAAGCTACAATTTTTCACTTTTGTTTTGCTTTAGAGGATTGCAAATACTGAAATATTATTGAACTAAAGAAGAGAATGTTACTAGCATGTATGCAAGTTATTTATAACCAAATTTCAAACAACATTTTGGGGAATAGGATATATCTAGGGAAAACCAGATACGAACTCCCAATTCAGGCACATATGTAGACAACAGAGCACACAGATTAATAAAGTCCTCTCCTCTCCTCTCCTCTCCTCTCCTCTCCTCTCCTTTTTTCT